GAGAAATATAGACCTATTTTACAAAAGTTCAAACAAAACTGCGCTGATTGATGTTTGGGTTTAACGGTCGTTACGTAGCTGACGTATTTTGTAGGCGGGGCTATGGTAAAATAGCGGAAGATTCAAAACGAAGATGGCGACGAAAAACGAAYCCGAAAACAATCGCAAATTGGATAAATGGTACCAATTTTTATTAAATGTGTGGCCAACTAAACAGCTGACAATGATGCTTTATTTAGTGTACGTTTATGATATAGTTAAATACAATGCTTTTTATCACTGTTTATTATTGTGTGTTGAATAGTTGTTAGCTTTTCGCAGTGTCGCTAAGTTAAGCTAGCATTCATTTACTGCACCTTTTCCGGGGTAAATAATATAGATTATATTTATTTCAGATAAAAAGTAGTCCATATCATTTAGAAGTAATAAAAAGTAAATTAAAACCAAAACACAAAATATAGATAGACTTGCTACATACTCGTTTTTGAATCAGTTATGAAGGTTTATCGTTGTTTACCCTGCGGCGTCTTTGTTTTTGTCTCACACAGGCAGAGTAAATGCAATGTGTTTTTCAGTCATGAAAAGCCAAATGGAAACCAGTCTGTGGTCTTTAACCCGGACTTCTACGTGGAGAGGTTAAGACATGAACATCCGCAGACCTTCACTGATCTGGTGCTTAGCAATATCACTCGACTGATAGATCTGCCCGGGGACGAGTTTGCCCAGCTGACCGGAGAGTCGGAGCCCAGAGTTCCCACTTCCAGCGGATTTCTGCGCTCCTTCAACTTCCTCAAACGGAAAGGTCTGGGCTGAGACAACAATATGCACAAATGTTAGCTGCATGAAAGCTTCACATAACTGTCATAAAAGTTAATAATYGTTTTAAACTAGTCTAGCGTATCATCTTCAATAGATAAGTTGCTGACGTTAACAACTTGATTTTTTAAATATCCCACGCTTACCACTTGTTGTGTTTTAATTTATATTGTGAAGCACGTGTTGCCTATTAAACAGCCATGCAGTAGGAAAAAAATATTAACACCTAAAAATTATAATCAGCATCGCTGTACTTTTTGCTCGCTTGCAGAAAAGGGGGTAATTTTTGGGGCTCCTCTAACTGAAGAAGGAATAGCACACATCTATCAGCTCATTGAATACCTGAGTAAAAGTAAGTATTGATGTATTCTGTGCTGTTATATGTGACCATAAACACTTCTCTTCCACAAACTAGGGCTGCATGAGTTCAGGAAAGCCTGTGATATTCGCTAACCATACTTAATATTGCGATGACAATATGACTTGTGAAATCCCTTTTGTACAGGCTGTCATTGCCSTGATGATAAATTTGCGWTATTGTGCACAAACWYTATTTATAGTAAYGTAATTTGATAACCTAATTTGATTTTCACACTTGTATTTTCTGTTGAATAATTCGAAGTTAGCATGAGGTCATGGTTTATTTCTAGAAAGAAATGATGTCATTCACTGAAAGTGGACACTGGGAGCAAATGCTTCAGTCAATAATTCATCTGAAAGCACTTTGCTGTTGCTGCTGACTCTCTCCTTCGCTTCTCTCCTCTTTTCTTTCCTCACTGCTGTGTCTTTGTTTTCACTCTTTTCCTAACCACTTTCACGCCGCCTCTCTTCCCATGTCTCTCGTTTCTTTCTCCCCACAGATCTGCATGTGGAGGGGTTGTTCCGGGTGCCAGGCCACAGCTTAAGGCAGGCAGCCCTCAGGGAGATGTTGAATGCTGGGGCTGAGATGGATCTAGAAACAGGAGACTTTCACCCCAATGATGCAGCCTCGTTGCTTAAAATGTACCTAGGAGAGCTGCCCGAGCCTCTCCTCACGCACAGACATTATCTCGCTCACCTAAAGATTGGAGGTGTTTGTTGGTTTATGCAAAAATTCATTTTCCAATTGTGGCCCTATTTGCTCTCTTGTAATATTTGCTTTATATCTGCTTTGTTCAGAGTTGACTCTTTTTGATGAAAATGGGGACAAGACAAACAACCCAGATAAGCATCGCCAGATTGAGGCGTTTCAGCTGCTTTTCATGCTGCTTCCACCGGCCAACCGCAGCTTGTTGAAGCTGCTGCTAGACCTTTTGTACCACACAGCTCGCAATCAACACGCCAACAAGATGTCTGCTAATAACCTAGCAAAAATGTTTGCTCCACACATCATCTGGCCCAAAAATGTGAGTAATTTCTTGAAGCGTTAAAGCCATTTTATAAGTTCAAGTTTCCTCAGCACAACTCTGTTATAGATGCTAATATCATCTGGCCCAAAAATGTGCATTGTTTATGCATWCAGTTTAGTATAAAAGTGCATCTTTAAGTTTCCTTGACACATTTTTTATATGTTTAAATCCAAGGTGATGGCAAGTGATCTTCAGGAGAACATGGAGAAACTGAATAATGGTGTAGCATTCCTCATCAGGAACTCTCAAAAGCTGTTTAAGGTAAATCACACCAAGCAGCTTTATTATACCCTTATCTTTTATTGTGTAAGTGTAGCTTCCTTTTTGTGTAAATTTAATAAAGTTTTTGAGATATATGACATGCAACTTTTTTGCATGAAGTGTGTAGTTTCTCAAATCATGTCAAAACACAAACAGATCTCATTAGTCATGTGTCGTAGAGGAATACTTAGCACATTAATTGTTTAGAAGACCAWGTTTCCCATTTTATTCACCTCTCAAAACATGAACTGAAATGAAAGCTTGTGATTGATGCTGTCTTTGTTTGCAAAACTATCCTGCAATTTTTGAAAAAAAAAGTGTGTGTGTGATGGAAAAGGCTCCTGAAGTTAGCTTCTGATCCAAACAACATTTTTTGTGTTTGAATTGCTGAAAAAGGCAGATGACCTTGGTGGAGCTTGTGCTTTCCCAGTGCCTTTTAGATTTCCTGTGTTTTTCATTTCTGAATGACCCTTTGATCATAAGAAGATACTTTGCTAGGTATACAAGAAATGCAGATGAGCTAAAGGGAAAGAACAAGGTATAGGTATCATTTAAGGTTATTTAAATATCACACAGTCACCAGTCCAGAAAATATATTTGATGACTATGCTTTTAAAAACTGTGGACTTTTTGTTCCTTGGAACTTTYGGATCAGCTGATGCAATATAAAATCTGAAAATCCAATTAGATAAAATATCAAAATCAGCTCCCTCTTCACTACAACAGACTGGCACAAAAAGAAAAAAAAACTGGCACATTCTTCCCCCTTTCATGAACAAAACCCAGAGATACTTGAATTTGTCCACTTGAGGCAGCACCTCATTCCCAAACCAGAGAGGACAGTCCATATTAATATAAACATATCAAATTTGGCTACAAAGATAAAATATTTTATTTAAAAGTGTATTGTCCATTTTATCATTGAAGGCTCCAGTGTATATCAAAGAATATGCTCGAGTACTCTACAGTGGATCAAAAACTCTTCAAGCAAAGGTAAATATATTTATAAAAATATATTTTTTTTTTCAAAAAAAAAGTTCACTTGAAGAGAGGAAATCTGTAAAGTTATTTTGTGTTTGTTGATTTCTGAATCCGATGTTTTAAATATATGAACTTAAAGACTGAGGTCTCCGTCACTTGATATAAAAGATTAATTTGAATAAAATTTGAGGTAGTTTTTTTTAAAGGGATCCATGATTAGTTGTAACAGTAGACTTTATTTGATAAACATATATTTTAACTGTAAAATAAAGACTGTAAAAATAATGTAGGCTGTTTAGTTTTTTATAATTTTTAAACTAAAAGTTAAAAAATATATTGCAAAGACGGGGCCAATTTATTTACACGCAAAGAATTCTGGGTAAATGATGACGTGGATAGGTCATCRGTGCGAGGCTGCTAGCGAGCTATATCCACCCGGAAGGTTAATCTTGGACAAWATCTGACGATCGACTCTTTTAAAGGGGCAATATCATGTAAAATCAAGTTTTTTGAGTTTTATATCATGTTATAATGTCATCCTCTCATAAAAAAAAAACATGCCCAAAGCCTTGCTTTGACTCATTCATCCATGTTTGAGAAATCCTGCAACGTTTTTAGGAAGCCATGCTGAGGAGCAAAACGACAGGTGGGGACCAGAAACGTCCTTGGGGCCTGTCTTTAAGCCGAACTTCCTCAAAGCAGAGCGCCCCTCCCCTCCTTCCCACATACCCCACCCATGACTCCTGCAGAGTCTCGGGTGAAACTGAAATTGAAAGTGAAACTGTCTGCTGAGCTCCCAACTACTTCTCACACAGAAGCGTAAGGAGGTTCTTAAAGAAACAGAGGCCAATTTCAAGGCATTTAGAAGAGGAAGTGATGAGAGGATAARTTTATTTTCTATTTAAACATAAAAACAGCATTTTAGCAACAGCTAAAGGTGACATTGATACTTTATTATGGCATAGTATTTAAATGTATGCCTTAGAAACACATAATWTTGCCCCTTTAAGTGAAACCAGAGAGCGTTGACAGAGGGGAGAAGGTAGAAATGACTCAGCCTGTAGTTGAAAATATGGATGGAGGACAACAGAGCTGCTTCATAGAAGAAGAACCTCATCTTAGCCTGTTAGCTTTAGGATTAGCCCCGACGCTATCACCATATAAACAGTATATGTATTAGCTCAGTGTTACACATTTTCCTCTCATCACTGAGGTCCTCCATCCACATGACAGAGAGGGGAACACAAAAATGACTCAGCCTGCAACTGAAAATATGGATGGAGGATCTTAGGCTTGTTAGTTTGTCGTGCTAGTGCCGAGCTAGTACATATAAGGCAATATAGCGTTGGCGCTAGCGCAAAGGCTAACAGGCTAAGCTGAGGTTCTTCTTCCATGAAGCAGCTCTGTTG